TGCAAGTTCAAATCTCGCCAGCATTACACAAAACCATTCCCATCTACTCTCGACCGTCCTCTACATTACAGACAAAAATCCAATAAAAATGAAAAAGACAGACACACACACCAGTGCCACAATAAAAAAAAAACCCAGCAGATCATTGAGGTCTTGGCTGGCGTTGCAGAGAGTGGCTCTCTGTTTTTCTACGCGTATGGAGCCGCAGTGGCACGGCACTAGCTGCGTTTGGCTGGGTCTTACTGGAATGGCAGTCAAGGGGGTGGGGGGAGATGAAAAGGCCTCAAGATGCTTCAATAAAGGAGAGATTATAATAAGCGCCATCATTGTGGCCCTTTTTGAAAATGTTAATCAGGCATATCACTGCCTGCCTGCAATGCCACATGTAGCAGCGTTTAACTTAACTTCACACCAACAATTTAGAGGACAGCAAGGCCACATGGGGGTGGAGGGGTGGGGGGGGGGGTGGATGCTGAAAGAGAGGGATAGAGGGAAAATGAAAACAAACAGAGATGAGAGGGAGCTCTATGATGGCGACTCATCGCAATTTCCGTGCCGCTATAAAAAATCTAAATTACATGTCTCACAATGCAGGCCGTATCTCCTGTAACCAACAAACCCTTCCCCCTGACACCCCCCTCCACAGACACTATCCACCCGTGTGTTTTATCTTAAGATTCTCAGACAATGCCTGGAGGATCCCCTTCTCTAATCTTCCTTAAAATCCTCTTTCATCCAACTGTTAAAGAATGTTTGAAAGCCTGACACCAGACCAAAAAAAAAAAACCCTCTTCATATCTGGGAAAAGCTTTTGGAGGGAGGGGTTGCTGGTTGGGGGTTTGAATGTAAAGTCAATGCAATTTAACTAATTAAATTGTTTTTGCCTCATGAACATTCAAACGGCGATTAAAAATGGATGATGTGAGGCGTTTTTCTTTCTTGCTTACAGAGATCATCACAATAGACTGGACAAATGCAAGGAGAAATTACCCTCATTTTGTTTAATACAAGAGTAGAGCTAATGTCTTACATCATGCATTAATTGAGGCTAAAGGTCTAACCTGTTGATATTAGGTAGCGAGAACACATGACTTCACAAAAGAGATTTACGCTGCGCACGTAACGGTCCGGTAAGAATTAAAACCAGTGGGAAGAACAAAGGCCGCAAAAGCCAATAGGCGAAAATGGACCATTCTGATGTTAACCAGCTCTTGAAGTCGAGGACATAGTCCAGCACTAAACCTGAATAGGCAGTCACCTCCTGATCCAGCGCTGGCCTTTGGTCGTGCCGATAAAAGCCATCCTTATGAGCCGAATTCCTGCGTTTGTCTCCAGGCTTACTTTTCCGCTACTCACGGTGCACGCTTAGCAGGAAGGCTAAACGAGGTCTTTGGTCTTTAAAATTAGAGTGGACAAGCTACCGAACTAGCATGCAAATCCCATGGACGAGAAAGAATAGGACCGAGGGAGAGAAAAGGGAAAAAAGAGAATTGAAAGAGAGACAAGAGAAGAAAGAGAACAGCAGAGAGAAAAAAAAAATTGCGATTACACCGATAGAACCCGGTGCGTGCCGATTGCGTGAGCCATCACAAAACCCGTCTCGTCCCCAGAACCGGGGCCGGTATTATGCTCTAAACACTTTTCCTTCTCTTACTGCGGAAAGATTATACTGGTTATCCTATTAATGCAGCTGAAATGCCATTCTAGTGTCTTTAAGCTCTTGCATAGGAGGTCAAGAGGACTATGCCACCGCTTACAAGCATGCTGTGGATGTAATCTTCCCAAAGTTACAATAATTAATGTTAAGCTTCTTTAGCAATACGTTTCTGAAAGAACTTGCCTGATAATATACTTAAAGCTGTGTTAGCTGTTAGCTGTTGTCTGAGCTCGGAGAGCATTTCCCCATGCGACTCACGTAGCCAAGCTTAAATCTTTAGTCAAACTAAGGGGCTGGTTACAAGCATGTTGCCTTAGCCACACAAGCAATTCCATTTCAGCCATGGCGGAGCTGAGATCTATAAACGCAGACACTCAAGCAATTATTTCTGCATGGCCAACACTGTCTTGGAATGTGGGCAGGGAGAATTAATGTGGGAAAGCTGGGGGGGGGGAGAGCGGGGAAAAAAAAGGGACTGACGTTTTGAGACTAAAATATAAAAAGGTGCACATCCGTGAAGAAGCGTGGAAGAGGATGGCCACGTCCTCGAGAATAAAACAAACAAAATGGGCCTCTTCTGACACATTTGTTTTTGCTGGCACAGACTGTGATGGCTTGTCTGTAAACTGTATTAAGCTGATGATATCCGTCTTGTATGAATTTCTGTGACCGCGTCAAAGAAAAGGAGAAAGGATTAGCATGCAATAAAACCTGTGTCAATCTTATCAGACTCAAGTGCAATTTTTAAACATATGTTAATCTCACCTAAAACTCATTCTTTCCCTCTGCTTTTTTGAAAAATCTCTTATCGAGGACTCTGTAGGTGTGAGGGTTTTAGAGCGCCTTTAAATGCCATTATTTTCATAATTGCGTTCATTGTTGCAGGTTATAAAGCAATTTGAAAATCATATGTGTGCATAAATGCATGCTGAGCAGATGTCAGGGAGATGCATTCAGAGGGTTGCTGAATATCAAAAGCTACGCAGATAACATTTACACACATTTCAATGCTGCGAGCTGAAAAATTTCAATGTGATTCGGGACGGTATTGTGCTCGGACAGAATGGCGAGTACGTGAATAGCTCTCCTCTCTCACTTGTGATTTTGCGAAATGCTCAAAATTGATATGTTTTCGTCTAACATATTTAGATGTAATTCTGGGGACGTGGCTAACTGAGGTAATGGTTGAGCTGCTGGTGAGATGGGCATAGAAGCCTGTGTGTGTGTGTGAAGGACACTGCTCCCTCTGGTGTGGGAATAACAAGTTCATTAGGCAGGAGCCACCGCAGGCCTCTGCCTTCCCCTGAGCGCTCTGCGTTCGGTTGACGGCCTCCTAGCCCATCAGCGGCTGCATCATTAGGGCTCTGCCATAATTAAGAGCTGTTAGAAAGTGAATTCTCCAACTGCAGATTAGAAAATTAAACTATTTACTGATTACATATTAATAGAAGACAACAATGGCAGTCGCCATAAGCTTGGAAGGCAACCAAGGAATACATCTGTGTACTTAATTACCATAAACAATGGTTGCATGGAAATAGAGTTTTATACGCATTCCCTTCTGTAATACGCCTGATATCAGAAGACACTTGACAATTCGTGTTCAATTATCTCCATTCTTTAATGTGCTGTGAACTGCACACAGTAAATAAATTAACCAGCCCAATTACTGTGAATTCATCTGGGAAACAAACGCAAAAAAACAAAAAACAAAAAAAACAGCAGACTAAGGCAGAGCGTATAATGAGGTGGGGAGGGGGGTATCAGGGATGCCGAGTAGTTCTTAGTACAGTTTTTATATGTATAGAAATATAACTTAGTATGTGCACATATATGTACACGCATCTATTTATATATATATATATATATACACACAAAAAATACATATATGTAAATGCATACAGATGTTTATTTTATATATGTCAATATAATTATTTAAATTATTTGCCTAATTTATGTGTATATATGCATTTATACGTATCTAGTGACCACCCTATAGTATGGGTGGAGGAAGCAAATAAATAATACAAAAGTTAAATCAACATGCGTATGCAGAATTATATTCTGAAAAAAATTAATTGAGGAAAACTAACTAAATCCCCATGAAATTACAATTATATAATACTTAAAGAATTAAATGCAACACAGCTTGGCAGTGTGTTAAATTCAATATGTGTATATTGAGCATAACATAATGACCTTGTTTGTTTTGTGTATAGAAGCAGTTACTGAAGATCATGTTGTCTGTGAACCTGACTGAGGCGTGAATTCACCCGTTTGCAGTGCTGAAATGCGTGCACTGGCTCAGACAGGTAAGCACATTAAGGTGAGAATCGTACACAAGGTCTGGTGTGTAACAGAGCCTCTTATTTCTGTGTGAGTGTAAATATTGCTGAAATGTCTGGTTTGGTTCTCCACCTGCTAGGGCATTCAAGCCATTTATCAGTCAGAGCGAGAAAAAACCCTTCAAACGGACACAGCGGCTTTGACTTCAACAGGGTCCAGGTGAGTGGGAAGAGGGAGAGAGAGAGAAATGGATGGAAGGTTGGGCAAACACAAAACTGTGATAGTCATGATATCATCCTCAATGTGACGGAGAAGCATAAAAATGAAATCGTCTACTTTACCCTTCTTTTTTTCATGACCCAACCCTTGTGAGAAATTATTGTTTCGTATCAGCATCTGGATGGCAGGCTGCTGTTCTTAAATTAGGGTTATTGAGGTGCTGAGCCATTGCTGTTCTCGCTCAGAACGAAGCTCTATGTTTTAACAAAGGCTCAGCAGCCCTTTTCCCCTGCTATAAACACCTGAAAGATCACCCCCACATTCTTTCATATGTGTATATGTGAGAAGAAGAGAGGGGAATAGAGGGAAGGGGAGAGAGAGAGAGAGGAGGAGAGCAAGAGCATGTATCTATTAATATGTTTCTTTCATTATTTCAACATTTCCTTTTCTGTCCAGCCCACAAATGGCAACCCTCCCCGTTTCTCTTCCTCCCCTCTTCACCCTTTACCCCTCTGCTGTATCCCCCTCTCTCCCTCCTTCTCTCTCTCTTCTACAGCATATCATTGAAGGCCAGATATGGGGTTCTGTTGCGCATGGCTGCACGGTACTGTTCAATAGTGGCTGGCTGGCGGACGCTATCAGCACTAGTTATCAGCTCCCATGAAGGCTCTCTTATCACGGCGGCCCAGAGAGCCTCCCTGCATCCTCACCACCCCTTTTCATATCCCCGCTGCCGCCCCAACATCCCGGCTTCAAAGATTCACACTTCCCAAACTCCATAAGAGTTTGTGAACGCTCAATTTGCCAAAACTGTTTACAGTGTAATTGGGCGGCGTACCTGTGTCCATGAGATAGCGCAGACGCTTCTCCACACGCGAGGCCCGCGTGTCGATCTGCCTCTGCTCGCTCTCCAGCGCCGCCAGTTCTCCCACCACGTACTGACTGGTGTCTTTGAACGCTTTCTGCTGGGCAAGAACAAACGAGAGGAAGGGGGAGTGATGAGAGGTAAGAAATGAAGCATCACATCCTCGGTTTATACAGCTTTTTAATACCAGGGGAACAGTGGTCAGAATAATTACTGGTGAATACTGCTTTAATTAATTAAGCGAATGAATGTACTTTTTTCACCTTTCTTTAAAAATTAGGATGTGATAATGATTTAAAACCTTTCCCAAATTAGGTTAATTACAAAGATGAGGTATTAAATAACAATAATACACACATTTAAAATAAAAAAATAATAAAAAACACACACACACACACACACACACATATATATAAATATATCTTTTTGTTGTTTTTTAAATAAATTAATAATACATTCTATTTAAAAAAATATAAGTATATTCATATATTAATATTCATAATCCTGAATAGGATTTATTTATTTATTTTTATTCATGGCTTAATAATGTTGTATAAAAATTGTATAATGTTGGCTTAAACATGTATATAAAATAAATTAGATTTAATAATAATAATAAAAAATCTGACTATGTTTGAAGATTTAGACCCATATACCAATATTATAAAGACTGTAGCTTTAAATGCTGAGGTCTGACTTCATGTGTGAAGCCTGGAGGCAGGAGGGTGCGCTTACACACCAATATAAACACATGCTAAATGACCACAGAGAGAATCCAGTTTTACAGCAGTCTGGAGACTGACACGCAGAGAGGCAAAATTGAAATATGTGGGAGAGGTGGGTCAGTGCCTAAGGGCCTATCAGCAGGGATCTAAGAGATCTACACAGCACACGTGTGTGCTCAGATTCACACATGTACGCGTTTGGAAACACGCTTCTATTCTGTTACGCATGTGGCCCTGGTGCCAGCACCCTCTGGCTCATGGGAAACACTGAAATGAAGGATGAGACAGTGATTAGGGACAAATACAGTAATTAAACTGCACGCTTATTTCCAAGTGTGTGATAGTGACAAGCACTCCCACCCCCCTTTCTTCCACTCGTTTATCACCCACCTCGGTCCTCTCCTCCTTCCAACCTTCCTAATATTCTAAGAAAAGTGGGGGAGGGGGGAAAGAGTGCTCATTTAAATTCACATCCTAAAGATTCTGCAAAATATATATATATATTTTAGTGCTGATGCACCTTATTTCATAATAGGAAAGAGGGAAATGGGGAAGAAAGTTTTTTTTTTTTCATCCAAGACAGCACTTTTTCTGCCTGAGTCCTCCTGCTGTCCATCAAACTACCTTCCTATTCCTCGCTGCTCTATCAAATACTTCTTCCACAAATCAATTTTACACATGATCAGCCCCCTCCCCCTGTTCTCGCCTCTCTGCCATAATTAAGTGTTGAAATTTCCATATATATTATATTAATGCAAACATCATTCGCTGGGTAATTCAGCTTGAGCTGGGTAATGGGCAAGTTCAACACCCATTAACCCCTACACAGAGAGGGGCAAAGCTGGTCTCTACTGACCTTCCCTCTCTCTCTTTCTGTGTCTCTATCTCACTCTTCCCAGGATATGTTTCTCTATGCTCTGTCCCTATATTTGGTGCTGCAATAATTAAAATACTGTAGTTTCTTTAGATCAGCCTGCATAGAGAGACAGAAAGAAATGATAATTGCATAGTTCTATAATTATATGTATATATTCACACTACGTGTTTATTCTCTTAAAAATAAATCAATACATTTTTTTGATTGACATTGGAACCAGAAATGGAGACAAAAATGGAGGGGAGATTCAGGACAAATTGAAAGTGTTCTGAGAAAAAGAAAGAAAGGTGGAGTGAAAAAGGTATATCCACTACTCTGTCCTTTTCCCTTTTTGCTAATCTTATAATTATCAGGGAATAGCAGTCTAATTTGGCTGACCTCTTTGGCTTTAGAGAAGAACAGATTGGCATCAGTGTTCAAAAACCTCTCTGCCCCTCAGACAGATGTGAGTGACTAAGTGCGACTGTGACGTCCAACTATGACCTGGTGTCACAGACAACATAAGACCGAGCAGTGCTGCCACAGAATATAAATTTGCATTTAGTACTTCATCTTCAGTTGGCCTTCGTCCTTCCATCTCTGTCAGAGCTCCTCTCTCCTCGCCAACCCTCTTCAGATCTTCAGGCACGGATCTCTGCCTTTTAACCTCTAAAACAAGAGAAAGAGAGAGAGAGATATTAAAAGTTGGTCGATTCTCACCTGATTATAAATTAATATGAAGATAAACCTCACCCAATCAGACAGATCTGACATCTCCATTAAAACAATCACTATATATAAACACCCTATAAAGCTGTTAAACTATCATCAGTATTCTTGAAGACCTTTAAGAGACACTTCAATACTCGTTTTACAATAAGCCTAATTGGCAGAACTGAACCACAAACCTGAATGTAACAGACATGCTCATCTTTATGCATTAAATACATTAATTTATTAATCACTTAAGTGTTCCACAATGCAAAATCCTTCATAATCTTTGTTTATGCAGTCAAACTGGAGGAAGTGACATCAGCAAAAGTAAAGGACCTCACCTGGCCTGGTCTCTACGTATTGGCTGAATGATTTGAGCTGTGTTTTCCTGACAGCAGACTCCTTGTGGAAGACAACGGGACTACGCAGACGTTCCGTAGCCCTGCGGAGACGCTCTGCGTGCAATTCGTCCACATTATTCTATAAACACATTAAAAAAAGAGAGGGAGGGATGAAGGGGGGGAAAAAAAGAGTAAAAGAACAGTTAACTTAAAAGTACAGCGGAGTCATTTGAATAAAAGTTGCTTCTGATGCTGGTCGACATTAAAGAAAAGAACAAATTAGACACACATGGCCAAGAAATGTTTAACGATGGAGCGCCGTGCCTGAAGAACAGTCTAGGAAAGGTTCTGCAGCACTTGGTACATCTCAGAGTCCCACATTAACTCACAAGCACAAAAGAAATAAGGCAATTAAGTCTACTTTCAACAAAACCTGAGCCAGAAAATGTATTCAGATTATGCAAATTAAAAGCACTATTGTCTTGGAAGCGAACATGTGTTAGCAGCTTCTCACTGCAGCTTCCAATCAACTCAATATTAAAATGTGTTATTATGTGCCAGGCCCAATAAGCCAAGCAGACTGGAAAGCGAAACGACGGCGTTCAGAATAACATTTGCAACGTCAATAATAATAGGAAACGTCTTATAAAGTTCGCAATTAGCGAACACGTTCCACTGCTTGAGAATAGGAGGGAGAAACATTGTTAGTGCAGACGCTAGCTCACTGGTGTGTGTACGGAAACCACACAGCTAATAAAGACAAGTGTGAACAAACAGATACACATACTACCTCTGGCCTGTTTATACTTAAAATTATAACTTCTGAAAACAAAGCTACAATTAGTATCTCCCTAGAGAACAACAAATTTAGCCTGTGTGAATATTAACAGTAATAGCTGTTTATTCAACTAATCCCACGTTTAAAGGGACGATATTAGCTGTCAAAGCCCTAATCTGCAGCTTCTCTTCAGCCATCACGACAAATTGTAACTTAACTTTCAGAAATTCCTATAGGCTAGATGAGAAAACACTTTGGTATATATATATATATATATATAAAACGAATACATGTGAATGTTCACATCTTAACCATTCTTTACCACTTCTACAGAATTGATTAATCTCAACATGTACATTTTTTTAAGTTAAATATAAATAATACATTTAACTTGTTAATAAAATAAAGTAAATAAAAAGTTAATAAATAAAGCAAAATATACTCATTCCTAAACATCATACAATGGCAATCTGATGGTGAAAAAACGTCACCCTAAGTACATCCCTATAAGTGTAATGAGTACCGCAGTCATCACACAAAACCAAAGGCGTGAGCGTGTTACGTGTTAAAACGACACATTCAACAGCCTGGATCTCTAGAGACAGCTCAACAAAGCCCTTTAACCCCGTCTGATTCCTCTCATGTTAAAGTCCAAAGAAAACAAACAGGATTCAAACCCAAAGCCCCGCTAGAATCCTCGTTTCCCGAAGGACCCAAGGCCTCCAACCCTCGCTAACAACCCCTTCCTTGAAACACCTGCCCCCACGGCCCCTCGGTACCCCTGGCTGGGGAAGATATCAGGGCTATCCCCACATCGCGATCAGCGCTTTTTAATCTGTTATCGTCCCGATCATTATTGTGGTGGTGGGTATTATTTTGGCAGAGGTGTGTGTGTCTATCTGGGATGCGTGACTAATGTTGCGGTCTGCTGCTCATTGCAGGCGGTTATCGTGTGCCACCATGGCAGCAGGCTCACAGTGCATAGAGACAATTGCTAATGAGACACAACCGGGAGCACTGGGGGACTGCAGTGTGTGTGCTGGGGGGAACCATTCTGTCCCACACCGTTATACTATGGCCTCGAGGAGTTGTGGGACGGAAGAATCCTCGAGGGATGGAGCGGATGATTCAGATTTTTTTAAGAGTTAAAAGACGGTACAAGAGCAGGCCAGAGAGAGAGAGAATGTGATCCTAATGCGTTTGTTTTAAAAAGGCAAGAAAAGACATTCTTTTGAGGAGGAACACATTGATACTCAAACTTCTTCATGAAGACAAGGTTGCAATGGAGAATAGGGTGAAAGTCAGAAGAGACAAGAGAAAGCGTGAGCTGCTCTTTCTTTAAAACCCCACAAACCACCGAGGCTCAGAGCCTCAGTGCTCGTAACCCTGCTGATCCTCCCCTGGGCTTTGGCCTGTTGTGTAGGCCTGCAGTTCTGCAGCAGGTGCTGAACTGTTCAGAGAAAGAGTACAAGACCCTCATCACTAAAAGCCATTTCATAAGGAAGGCATACTAGAAATTATCGGTTAAATCACCTCAACTTACCGTCAATTTCAAGATAGAAATTGTACTGTTCCTCTGAAACACTTGCCAGTTCTTGACTGCATTGGTCATGTGCACATGTATCATTTTCTTTTTTGCTTAAATTAGTGTCATACACTACCGTTCAAAAATTTGGGTTAAGTATGTTTTTTAATTGTTTTTGAAAATCAGCAAATCAGCCTATTAGAATGATTTCTGAAGGGTCATGTGACTTAACACTGGAGCAATGAATAAAAAAATAATGAAAAAAAATAAAAAAATAAAACAAATACATTCTTACTAACCCCAAACTTTTCAACGCTAGTGTAGGTGAAAGTAAAAGCAGAAAATTGTTTTGTCGAGGCAGTTTTTCCCTTCATTTTGTTAAAGTTACTGCTAACACTTAATTTTTATTAATCAATATTATATTGTGTATAAATTATGCTATTATTGATTAAAGTTGCAGAAAAGTGTTTTTCCTCTTTGTTGCCATCTCTGTTCAAAATCTGCAACTGCAGTAATTCACGGAATTATCAACTTTACGCAAATTCAACACCCTCCACACGGCACAGTGAGGATGAACACAATGTTTGAGGAGAAAGTGCGGCTGTCAGTCACCGTGCCGGTGTGGATACTGGGATTCACAATCACAGATTATTCTTTTTGGAAGTATGACCAACATAATAATTTTCACTGGAAAATGTCATCTGAACAATTAACATCCACTGTTCTGGTTCTGACATTGCAGTAAAATGCACTGATTAAATCTAACAATCGCTTATAAGTTATCATATCACACAAAACCGTGCAAATTATACCGTTCTCAAATTGTTAATGTTAACAGCGTCAGCATTGCGTGACTACAAGTAATGTCCTTCCGATATGTATCCTTGTTTTTCGCATGGGTCCGGTTGCAGTCTCTTTTTCGAAGGCTTTTGCATTTCACAGCAGGTGAATCTACAGTTGTCACTGGTGATTGTCGTTTGAACCTTTCTGGATCCGCCAAATTGATAAGTTTAATTATATCAAGTGCTGTGAGCAAAGGCTATAAATGTCCACCTCCAGCATCCTCACACGCAATATAGCGTATACTAGTTGAGACTCCGACTTTATTTTTTACAGATGTGACGTAATGACGCGAAGACATGCTCGAATCTCCCTCGGAAATCCACCAGTACCACTGGAATTAAAAACATTATTGCAAGCTTACCGCTTTGAATCGAGCTAAGGCAAGCAGATAACTTTGAACACTGGCTGGTTACGTATTATCTCAAAAATGAATTTAGGATAATTTTTAACCCCCAAAAAGCTACGGACTGCAGCTTTAATTATTATCAATAATATTACTGGGTAAATATTCTACTTCTCCAACCCAAATGAATCGCTGCATGTGTGACAATTTGAGTCATCCTCGTCATGTCTGTATATCTGTCTCTGGAATCTAACCTATTTGTGATTAGTCCTTGGGAAACCTCAACCAATTATTTCACACCTGCTGCAGTGCACTGAAAGAGGCCTGCCGACTCAAACGAACACATCACTGCAGTCATTGTGCATCAAAGAGCCTGCTAACATCTGCTCACAGGAAATCCCCTCTGTCAGCAGAGAGAAAGAGAGAGGTAGAAAGGGGCGAACAGGTGGGGGAAGGTAGTCGCCAGCATCTCTGAACATGCCCTACAGTCACCACCTGGGGGCTCTGAATACAACAGCGAGCTAGGAGGTCATCACACACACACACACACACACACGTATAAACACCAAGCAGTCTGCAGTACACAGGTATGCATGTTCTTACACACAGAACGCTGGTATTTAATAAACAAGGTAAATCAATCCACTGCATGTCAACATCGTGAGCCACACGCTGCTGTCGATACATCCAAAGCTCTCTTCTCTCTCAGAAAAGGTCAGGTGTGATATGAGGTAATGGCTGTAAAATGTCATTCATGTGTTCTGGCTTAATATATAAACACATGATGATCCTCAGACAAAAAATAAACAAGAGACAGCGAATCAAAGAAAATCAATCTGTCTTGGCCTTTTACCTCACACGCATAGACACGCAAGAGAATGAGAACCAAGCCAATAATTCATACTGTTAAAACTACCATAACAAGCATACAATAAAATGCAATAAATAAGCTCCCAATGACCTTTGGGAATGTTTATTCGGGTATATTTTTGCATATCCTGATGAAAATTTGTGTGGTGTCTTTCAGCACACTTCTATGTAATTACTAGGGTGTTCTGGGTGGTTGTTTACAAGCCCAAAACAGAAAGAGCAAAGCCCCAATCAGTTCTGATCCCTAAATATGACTCATTGTAAAGCTTTTAATACTTATTCTATCTTCAAATCTGTTATAAGTCACTTAGAAAAGTAAATATTACAACTTTTAAGCTACAAGTCACAATTTGAAGTGACTCATGTCTTACTCAACAAAGTTTTTGTTGACAATGATTCCCTAAGTATGAGCAATAATATTAGTGCTGCTTGCTTAGCTAACGCAATTAAAGATAGAGCAGGTGGGTGTAAATGTTACCTGCAGGCCGCCTGATTCAGGGCTGAGGGGTGAAGTACTGGATGCCGTCAGTGATGAAGAAGAGGATGAGGAGGAAGGAGAGCTGCCACCCTGTGGCCGAAACTCTGTGAGCTTCTTGAGCTTCAGGTCTACATGCCTGCTGTTCATCACACCTAAAAAGAGAAAGAAGAGAGGGAGGAAGAGTTATATGCAGCAGGCCACTCGTCTCCAACACACAGATAAGCAGAGGACATGACAATGTTTGCCTTTAAGCAAACTGGCCCTCTCAACCTCATACACACTCACATATATACACACGCACACTTTGCTGGAGAGATAGCGAGATGCTGTGAGCATGACACACCTGGAATGTCTCCCTTGATTCATAAATGGCACCCAATCACATGTTTTGAATTAAACGTTTTTCTTTTTGTTGTTGTTCCCAATGCACAACATGGATTTTTTGGTTGGATTTTACAGAGAAATATAATGTACACTACATTTCAAAAATGTGGGTACAGAAAGGCTTTTGAAAGCCTGTATTGAATAAAAATAGAATAATTGTTTAAGACTTTTTTCAATTTTCATCAATATAATGGCAGGAAACTATTAATGTTTTTACTAAACGCAAAAGTTATAAAAAGGTAGTGTATATGAAAGGTAGTGTATATTATATATATATATATATATATATATATATATATATATATATTGTTATTGTTTTGTATATTTCATAAGAATATCATTACATATTTTTTCCTAAATGTATAAATTAATTAATTACTAATGCATTATTAACAAACAAAACATATTGAAACGGATCATTTATATAAATGTATAACTTCATTTTAATGAATACAATTATAATACATATTTATTACATATAAATTATTATTTATAATTATGATATTATAATAGTATAAGTATAATAAAGTTATTAATGCATTTTAACATCATTAATAGTGTTATCTAGAGGCCTTGCATTATTGTTGTCTTCCAGTTTCTCTCTTGGAAAAAAAGAAGAGAGAAAAACTCTAAAACTTGCTTGGTTGAGATCCCAAAAAAATAAAATAATGCACGACTTTTGTGAGCCTCTGTATGCCACAATGAACTTTGTGCTATACTATTTGTGAATTAATCCTCTCGGGAATTAATCAGTGCTATGTATTTCCACACAAGATTTCTCACAGCTTCAGCTGCATACTGAGAAAAAAAAAAAAAATCAATGGACACTTGGACGGACTCCAGCAGAAACACTATCCATTCATTTAGCTATAATTCAATGGACACTCAGATAAACTCCAGTTGAAACAGTGTCCATTCATTTAGCTCAAATTTGAGAAATCTCTAGCTTTCCACCATCCATTTTTTAAACCGACTGCTGCCCAAAGTATTTATTTTTAGTATTTAGGTGAGCAGTCACACATGTGCACGGCTTAAGGGGAACAGTGCTAGTCACTGTGATTACTTTAAAGAAATACAACCCACAATACCTCCTCTTTCTTTTCAAATGAACAATGACTTGAATTTCTTCAAATGAATTTCTTCCTTCACATGCAGACTTGCCTTTTACATGTGTTGGTGCCTTATTTTATGTCTGTCTTTATATTCTCCAAGTCTCTTTCTCTAGTAACCTTTCACTAGCAGGTGTAGCTCCTCCTCTCTCTCTCTCTCATCTGAGCTGGAGATGAAAGTGAGGTGAGGAAGCTTTTCATGTGGGTCCTGTTCTCCTCGTCTCCCAGCATCCCTCTCTCTCCCGCCCAAAAAACACCACAGGAGTCAATTGTGTGTATGTGTGTGTGACCAACAGTTTTGCTCAAACACAAGAGTCACATCCCCAACTAACTAAAAGTGTGCACCATAATAATGACATGCATTCATTTCTTTCGTCACAACTCTCTGAGTGTTTGGCATTGTAATGGGTATGACAATGTTGATATATTTGGTCTAGCTGAATAAATCTACTACGCTGCTGCAGAGCAATGGGACTAGCTACTGCCAATTCATACACGACACACTGCTGCTGTACAATAAACATACATGAATCACCCGTAGCAGATCTATACAGGTGGAGCTGTGGAAGGAGGAGGGTTTCTGAAAGCACGCTGCAACTGCTACAGAACATGCTGACCAAGTATTTAAATGTTGAGCACACAAGCTCATTTTCTACTGATACAGCAGTAACCAAAAAGCCGTGCCCTATAGAGAATGATGTGATTGCAAGCAGGTCCAACTGTGCTATGAAAAAAAAAAAAAAAAAAAAGTAAGACTGAAATGAGCAAAATTAGCTCGTTTTTCATAATCACGATGCAGGAAAAAAGATTGTCTTTTCACAATAACAGACAAAAACACAAACCAAACAATGCAACAAACAATGACGATAGACTGTACATAAGTAAACTAAAGAGAAGGAGAATAAATCATATACATCATATGACTTACTCAGCAAGACACGAAAACAAGCAAAATAATTGTGTTTGTCTTGGGAAAATGTTCAAATAGTTTTTAATTAAACTAATTAAACTCTAACAGACACAAACAAACCTTCTGTGTCTAAAACAGATGAGCTTATGTTGAATTAAAAGATACATTTTAAAAGGTGCTTAAAATAGAAAGTAATACCAAAGGAAACAGAAGAAATATTAAATTAAAGGGCTGAACAATTTAGGGGAAAAAAATCTGAGATTTTTCAGAGAATTAAAAAAAGAGCCGGTTTGCTGTGCTTGTTTCTAGGGCTGCACAATTTGGACCAAAGCTTTTGTGATTATATATCAATATGACCATAATGATAATATTAATAACATGATTTCAGTTTAATTTTAATAATCATGCAGCCCTACTAAATGAAGGGTTATTATGGTAGGATAAAAGGTCAAAGGTAAAAACAAAAAATAAAAACACGAGAGTTAGAAACTAACAGAAGTAGATGCACACAGAACATAACTACTATACACAAGCACAGGTGTGTAGCATTAACATGCACACGTTCAAACACAAGCATAGGTTATGCAGTGTTGGGTTACCCAGAGAGGCCAGGTCACTGGCAGAGTTAGTAAAATCATCATCCATTAGACATGAAGAAGACAGCTCCTCCTCAGGGTTAGTATGTGTGACATCATCAGCGTGAGACGCCGCCGCCTCAATATCACTCCTGCCCTCCTCATCCACACCCTCCACACTCACCCCATCCAACACGTCTGCGAGCAAGCAAACAAACAGGGATGGCCAAAAAAAGAAGAGCAAAGAGAAAGAGGTGGTTAGTGAAGCATTGAACGTTAGTTCGGCATTCCAGTGGGAAAGGAAACTTTGCATGTTAGTAAAGAGTAAGAAAAACATTTGTTTAGACCCATTTATTCATACAACGGTAATTCCTTAACAAAAAGTTTGCTGCTGTCACATTGGGGTGTGTTTGTTTGAGCTGAGAAAAATCAGGCAGATGGTTGAGAGTGTCTGGCAGAGAGCTGAGCTTTATGTGTGTATGTGTGTGTGTGTGTGTGTGTGTGTGTGTGTTGCATGGCAGATTTGGCCTTGACGGCAAAATCTCCTCCAGAGTTCCTCTTCCGCATCCACAGATCTGAATCCCACAGAGCCCTTGACAATACACACTCAATCCAAACACATCGATCTCATTCAGTTATATGGTAACTAGAGCAGAGCCGCACACACACACACTCTTAAATAAGTGACAAAACAAATAGGAAAAATAGTGCTGCATGATTCAAGGAATAAAATCAAATTCCATTTAGTCCGATTGCGTGATTTAAAAAAGTTCTAGGTTTACTGTGCTTGTTTTTAAGTTTTGGCCAAAATGTTTATGATTTGCAAAATGTTTGTGAATACCATTAATGGTATCAAGTTGGTATTAATAGTAACCTGTTAATCAAGTTGTTGTGGTGCTGGTGAATGTTAGGTACAGTGCCACACGCTACATGTCTCAGTTTTGGGGACACTGGTATAAGTGTCTTTTCAAAACGAGTCATTTGTAACTTTGTGTTGTGTATTTGTATTATTGTATTTTATTTTATTTTTGTCTTTTCTTTGTATATGGATGGACCATGAGTCTGAATAAAAGGATACTACTACTACTACTACTACTAATGTAATTATTTTTTTAAACAATAGTGCTAAATATAAATATTGTAATATTTCAATGTAATTTAAAATAATGTAATTATTTAATTTTACACTACAACTGTAGTTACAAGCTTTACTTTGAACCACCCAGCACATATATTTACTTAATAAAAACACAGCTTTTGTGATATGATTACCGCACAAAGCCATATCGCAACTTTGGTTTTATTTTGATTAACCGTGCAGCCCTGTGGCACATGACATTCTCCAGAAAAAAACAACATTTTGAAAATCAGAGGAAAAGAATTGACTTATTTAATTTCTCTCATGATTTTTTTAATTTACTTTCCATGATATAGCCCCCCCCACACACACACACATACAGGGCAGTGCTAAGCTAATTAACAGAATGCATTCTGCTGGAGTTGGTGAAAGTTTTGCTGGTGAATGTTTTGCTCTACTCAACTTGAGCTCTCCCAGAATTAGAGCAGAGTGTTTGTGTATTCAAGTGTGTGTGTGTGTGTCTGTTGGTGGGATTATGCGTTCTGCACGATAGGCCTTGTGCATCAAGCCTATAGCATTTCCCTCCAACCTGATTTTTAATGAGTTCTACAATTAGCAGAGTTCAACAGCCTGAAAGGCCAAATAAACCGTTTTTTTAAAACTGTCTTTCTTTCTCTCCCTCTCTCTGACACGCTATTTTCCTCTGCTCCCTCCGTCCAAATGCAGGTTTGTCCATCTCTGCAGGCCATGAGATGTGTTCTGTAGTGTTTCTGAGATGAGGTAAACGCGTGATTGTGGAGGAGGGAACACTATTAGGCGGACAGGGAGAGGATGAAGAGAAAATGCAGGGCGTCAAAGAGGGAGAGATGAAAGAGATAAAAGGAGAGGAATATTGTGTCTCCCCTTGAGCTGTGAAATGGTACACACGGACACGAGCCGGCACAGAATTAGGCACAGCGGCTAACCTGCTATGTTAACACCTCGCGTATTAAACAAAACCTCGACGCGCCACTAACACCCCTCTCGCTCGACGTACGTGCACGCTTTTAATTATACGCAGCAGCTAGCCACAACGCTAACACCCCTCGGCGTAAACACATTTAATAATACACCACAGCTACCCCGCTATGCTATTGCCCCACTGTTTCCGCACAGTCCTCCCAATGGCTAGCGCTACAGTAACATGCCATCTCATTGTCCTGTAATGTGAAATAAAAGGAGAAATGGTGGCGGATGATAACGCGGGACGCGGCAGGAAAGCCGAGCTGAAGAAGATGCGGTCTATAGGAGTCCTCCGTGGACAATGAGACGCTGATTAGCCAGCATGGGTGTGTGTTATAATGACGGTGATGATGATTTGGGCCGTGTGGACTGGTGTGTATGTGTGCGTGTTGGGGCATAGGGCACTGTTGGCCGTCGCCAGAGTTTTCCTGATGTATTTCCGAAGGATTACGTGAGAAGCGACTGCCTGAACAAATGGAAGTGAAGCCCTCTGTGAACACCTCAAATTAGAGTTCAGACTATGTGGGTGTGTTGGTGTGTTTCTTAATGTAATGCTCCTTTGGGCATTGAAGGCAGAAGTGTTGCTTGTCATTACGGAGTGAGCAACAAAAAACGTTTTTTTAAGGGCTGAAAGCCACTAATGGACACACACATATGGCCTGCTCCTAATGGACACACATACACAAGCTTCGGGAGCCAATTAAAAATCTCACAGCCTTAATGTTCTGTTAGGAGCATTTTCAGGGAGCCTATGGGAGCCAGGAATAACAAACACTGACAAAATGTGTCTCATCAGAATAAACATTACCATGGGGATTGACTTCCAACCTGCATTAACATGATTATTACTCTGCAGTTAATAGTGCAATACTCTATTAGAGAATTCCTTTAACAAAGAATGTACATTTTGTACATTGTTGTATATGTAATGCATTAAAATAAAGCATAAAATATTAGATGAATCTTAAAAAATACTTCAATTAATCATACATCAAATAAAATATACATGTATACAATAAAATAACAACCTCATGTTACTCTAAACTTGAAACACAAAAAATATAATTTTCCACATGTTCAGTCTTTTTATCCATTTTGTACCCCAGGTGTTGTTTTGTACCCCATTTACTTATACCAAGATTTTTAGGCAGTGAATGAGTTTTATCAATATTAAACATCTTAAACAACATTTTCTTTATCGGCCATCTTGGATGGTTTTTTCATCTGACCATGCAGCAATGCATTGTGGGTTTACCTTAATTATGAAGGATTTAAAGCTATTTTAGAGTTCGCAAAGCAAGTTATGTACATTTGGGGAGACTGTCTGCAGGTCACTAGCTTCTGTGTGGTATTTCAGCTTGACGTACAGTATGCAGATTTGCGTGTGCGTTTGCATGCTTATGAGAAAGTGTGCATGCGTGTTTATGCATTGTGAGTGTATGTGCGTGTTCGGCCTATAAAAGCCCCCCGGCACTCACCTCCAGCTGTCTTTGACCTTCCTTTTAAGTTGTTCCCAGCTGCACTACAGGCAATAGAGGTGGAGTCAGTATAGAGAGGCAGTTCCGCCATCTTTACTCCAGATCGAGCCTCCGCTATCAGCTGCCTGGCTCTCTCTCGCAGCTGCCTGCGCCGTTCTTCATCACGCTCCTGACACACACACACACACACAGACATAGGCAGAGGGACAGGGGGTTATTGAACGGGTGCCATCTCAAGTAATTGACAGAAATGCCATTTTCACTCCTCTCTCTCCCATCAGATCAGTCTGATAGCAGCTTTCTTTACTATCCTGGATGGAGGGTCTCTGGCACAGAGAGAGAGCGAGTGGGAGAGATTCACTGCATGGTTCATTTGTCATTGATTCTGTATCCAGACATAATAAACTGAGATATATTCTGGAGTGTCATTTTTTCTCTGACTACATGTTTATGGGTGGTTTGTGTGCATCAACAGGAGGTAGAGACAGAAATGTATGCATCAACTACTTCACAACATCAATTTGGGAATAGACAGATGAGGAAATGAGAGAAGATAACAAGGATCGGGAAAGGTCATCAAATCCAAACTTTTACTACGTTCATTAGTGAACACTGCTTATTAATAAAAGACCACATTTGTACAAATAGTTTGCCATGTTGGATATGTCACACAATCTTTTTAAGGCAACATGAAATGGCATTGACCACAGTTTTAGTGCGTCTATGTAAAGCTATAAAGTTCACCCTCAAGAGCACCTCAAAGTATCACAATGGTAATGTTTGTTTTTCAGATCTATTAATATATCTCCTGGCTATAATGGAAGTAACCTTTGTTAATCAGGGGTGTTTTCATGTACAACGACATAACTCACTGCTACCTACCACAGTGTGATGCACTGTTAAAGAAATTAACCAGCTAGTCAGTAGTCACAACCATAGTAACCTGTTTGAATCAAGGTTCAATGATGTAGAACTGACATTCATGACATCATGCAGGTGGTGAAATAATAACTTTAATTAATCAGTTCGAGTTTTTTACCTTTCCTTAAACGCCATTCTAGCTTCTATGGCCATGTTCATGGCGAGGGCCAGGTTTAGTTATTCAAAAATGAAACTAAATAAGATCTTTAAGATCCATTTTTTTCTAAAAACCTCAAGACTAAATTTGGATTTAATGAGATCAAGATTAAATTAACATGGTATAGGAGGGCTATGTTTTTTCTCTGTTGTTTTGCTTTATTTATATATGCTTGATTCAATCTTACATCATACTCCAAGGTTCCCCTGGAGCCCTGGAGCAAGGGTAACCACCTGGTTATTGTTCTGTTGTAATTTACTACTATTATACTATGTAAATAATGTTTTACATTAGTTGGAAAGCCTATTTGTCATTACTTTGGGTGATAACATTTTTTAAATCGCCAATAAGCTTTGTTAATTGTGACCGGCTCTGTGACTGTTACTCAATTTGCCCAGGTTCCAGTTAAACAATGTCATTTATTCTACAGGACTTATTCAGTCTGCCTAAAATATTCGTTAGTAGGTAAAAATAGCATTTTACACTGAAATAAATTTCCTTATGTATAGCAACTAGTTTATTTTATTTTCCTTTATTAGACTATGCAAATATGAAATGCATTTTACCAGATCCTGTGCATCTTGGTCCTGTATTTTTTGTTGGATCTGGCAGGTTTGATGAGGATGTTCTTATCCAATATGTGTCTATATGAAGTGCTGGCTGGTGTAAATGTATTTAACAACTTTTGATGAGGTCCACAATGATTCCTTTGCTCTGTCAAGCCGTCATCAGCGGAAATAATAATCATATTTTTGTGCAATATTTTATAAGTTGCAGTATCACTACCACTCATTAACATTTAGACAGGTTCGCTTAGCAAGATGGGTAACCTGGCTCCATAGACAGCCACATGAACACATGCACACATTTTCAAGTTGCCAACAGGTTTCTAAAGGAAAAGAGCAGAGAGTGAATTAACCCAATTGGTTACAAAAGTGTTAAGCTAATTAACCCCATTTCATCTGTTTCTGTGGACACTGTTTGTCTGAGGCCATTGTTCAGAAGGACAATAAGCGGAGAGCTGCAGATGAGGGAATCCCAGGAGCACTTTTCAGGGGTCCAGCCTAGGTCTCCTTGAGTCTCAGGATAATTTGAACATGTAAGACAAAGCTAAGGCCAGGTTACACCTGAAAACACAGAAGCACTCCTGCCAAAGCTGAATTGGGCACGTTTAGTGCAAGTGTGTCCACTATGCTGTTGCAAAATGAATACATCTGCTCTAATAGTGGGGTGACTAGGAATTGCTCAATTTTATCACATGGCTGTAAAAGAAAAGAAGAGAGAACCATGTGTTTCTGTGAGAGTGACAAAATCTGCCACTACAATAATGTATTTTTCGTTTGAGCTGTGAGGCTTTTGCCCTGTGCTCATCATACAATTTAATGTAATATAATTGTCATTCTTTCTGTAACTGAAGTCTAAAACGCCACATGATCAACTCAACCTTGCAGGTATCATCACACACAACCTTCGACACACTGTTTTACATACAGCGATTCAGGGCTGGGCTAGCCATTAGTACAGAAAATGAGATTCCATGTGTGTGTGCCCAGAGGACAGGATTACGACCATGCCCAAACTGCTTTTAGGCAACTCAGGAAATGTTCTGTAATACTGTAGTCAAGGAAAATTAACAAGACAGAGGAAAGGGGAGATGCTTCCATCCATACAGACTCGGCTGAAATATTTAACAGAGGATTAAACTGGTCAAATATGTAGGTGCAGAGAGAAGCTTTATGAAGCTGGAAATGCATAGAATAGCTGGTATAAATGCTGATTCACACTAAATGGATGCTGACATTGATAGTAAAAAAAAAAAGGCCACTTGAATGCATCTCTGTGAATCTTTTCCTAACCAGAGCAATTTACTTTCACTGAAAATTGTGACTTTTTATTTAAATTTTCCAGGCCTGTACTTTTTTTTCACCATATTTCACAATATTTTATACTACTGTAGGATTTAATTGCATTGGAGTTGAAAAAGTTGGAAAAGAAAGACTTTTTTTTCCCAGGAAAAACTTTATAATAAGATTCTAGACATTAATATTAATTAATGCAATAACATAATAATATAATTTCAACATATAGTAATATATTTTGTAAGATTTAAATGTTGTATAAATTAATATTAAGCTAGATTAATAAATGCTGTACAAATAATCACTATGAAAATCATTTATTTAAAAAAATATAATAAAAATTCAACTATTGCTAAAGAATTTAACCTTATTGTAATGTTGTCATTTTTCCCATCATTGTTTAATGTGATATGTATTAATGCTTGTAAATAAAGCACTTAAAACTGAAATTATGAGAGACTGAAAGGGAAAGTTAAGGTATGAGGTCAAAACAATCATTGAGAGATACAAATGAACTCCCCAAATGAATCAGCCTTGCACGATGTGCAGAATAACCACGGTGGAACGATCCATTTCTACAGCAGCAATGAGGTGTGAAACTGTCTGTCCTCTTATGAAGAGATTTCTTTAATGACTCTCTTCAAATGGACTTCAAGTGGCTCTTCTTCAGCTACACTGAAGCTTGACCGTTCAGTCTGGACTCTCCAACTGAGCTATGCTTGGAGTGAGAGGAAGAGAAACAGGGAGTAAAAGGAATAAGGAAGAGAGGGGAGAAAGATCAGTGGCCCATCCAACCTCCCAGCTGCAGATCTCCAAGCATAATGAGGGGATCCACAAGAACGAGTGACGAAAATGAAAGAAGAACACAGGGGTGGCAGAAACGATGACAAAGTCATAGTTAAAGGTGTAGAAGAAAGCATGGTGTGTGGGAAGACCTCACTCCATCCTTTGGGAAGTAAAACAGGAGGGAGAGAGTAGCAAAAGCAGATAATAGAGGGCTGTTACCCTCGTTCTGGACAGGAGATCCAGGGAGAGAGGGGGTGGGCAGTAGAGCTGAGGCCCAGACAGAAGCACTCATGGTGGGTATGGGGTCCCGGTGGCTGCCCCAGCCAGGCTGCTCTTTTGGAGGGGGCTGGAGGGTGGGTGGGGGCTGCGGGGGTGCAGCGAGCCATGGAAGGAGTCGCTCGGCTGGGCACACACACAGGCTCAGGGCCCTGGCGCTAACACAGCCGTGCCAGCCAGCCAGAGATGGTGCCAGCCAGTGAAGCACAAACAGATATATTTGTCATGACACACTGAGTGTGCAGAGAAGGGGAGGGCTCCGCACACGCGCGCGCACACACACACACGCAAGCAAGCAGTGCAGACGAAGAGAGGTTTTGGATCTTTATCCCGTTCAACAACAAATATGTGTGTACAGAGGGGAATCAATAGTAATTTATCAATTATGATTCTGATTGCATGAATGACTCCACGGATGGTTATTTTTGTTATTTTAAAGAAAAATGGAAAATGATGGGAAAAATGTTTGGTCTAATTAAATCATTTTAGATTCTCAGTAGGAAAAAAGTAATACTCGGGATGCACAGGACCATATTGATATTATTGTTGGCCTTCTTCTGTATTGTATTTTTAATTGTGCATGGTCATTTCCCCTATTTTTACATCTACATTTCCTTTGCCGTTATTTAATGCTCACTTAAAGTTAATCTTTAAAAACTAAAGATGCACCGATACTAAATACCTCCATCGATAATAATGCCGATAGTTTGATTTGATTTTCCTTAGGGAAAATAAATCGTTCCCAACTAATGCTGCAATAAGCTATACAGGGAACCATCTCATTTGGTACATTACTATAATATTAGAGGTTAAAACTAACAATTAAGCCCAAACTATTACATTTTTTATGTCTTTTTTATTTTCAGATAATAATAATAATAATAATAATACACAATGTTGTTTTCATACATTTTTTCAAACATACATATAAAAAACAGAAGAGAGGGGCTAATTTACTGTTAAGTATATACTGTAACTAACTAACAAACATCAAACAACTTCTGAGGTAAATGCAACATTAAGTGACATTGTTTACAAGCTGTTTATTGACGTCTTTTCACGGTTGAAACACTGATTGAGTGACTACATGAGAGTTATACTGTATCTTTCAACATACCATTTGAAGTTCATGCATGTTTTTCCATGTGATAACTTGTGTTAAATTGGAAG